CAGAGAGATGATGTTTTCATATGGTATAATACGTAAATAAGTTATTTTTGGGCCTTTATAGAGAAAAGAAAAATTGATCCTAAATATTTATAATCAATCATTTATCACTTGGTGGAGGAATATAGTGGTAAATCTTGCTTATTTTGTGCTCAAAGAAATTGGGAGCTTAGTGTGTTTATGTTGTGAAGGTTGGGGTTTGGTTCAATACAAGTGTGAGGTTGAAGGGTTATTATTATGTATTAAAGTGCTCAGTGAAATGTAGTCTCTATTATTCAAATTGTATCATACCCGTCATGCAATCTATATTACAACCAAATGAAGTCCTACTTTATCCTTGGTTGAATGAGCTCAAATTAGTAGAGTATTACACTATGGGAAAGCCTATGGTACGTCTTTTGTGACACATGAATTTTATTTCTGAAAGTGAGTGAATCATTCTATCTTGAGTTCCCAATTGTTCTTGAATTTTTTTGTGTGTGGAACTACTCTCTATCTTTGGTATGAGGTCACATGATTTGCGAAGAAAAGGTAATGTCTTTGGCCTCTATGTTAGAGTAAGTGAGCAGGTTTTCAAAAATACGTGGTGCTTGTTAGTTGAGTCTTAAGGCTGATTGGTTGTGGTATGGTGCTTAGTCTGCTTGAAATATTCTTGGCATGATGAGTTACGAATGTTGTTTGATGAAAAAGTTTCCTATATGTGAAGTGTAGTTTGATTGCTCGAGGACAAGCAATGGTTCAAGTCTAGGGTATTAATGGTAGGCTAGGAACCCATTGAGCTTAAATAATGATGATTTGCACTTATTACATATTTTATGCCTAGTAGGAGATGATTCTGAGTTAACAAGATATTTTGGAGCTAAATTGAATAATTTGGAACTTTGAAGTCTGAGTAAAAGCCTAAGGAATTAACTAGTATCACGTTAGGGGGTCGAGGACCAAGTCTGGATAACAAAAAGTGAGAAAAAATCCCAGTCTAAGAAAATTTCACTACAGCACCGCATGGGGCGCCGCGGTGCGACAATGTATTTGGAGATCTTTGACAGAAGTAACCTCTCTAAACTTCCACAATGGACGCGATGCATGGTGTGTCGCAGGACACGTCATACCTATGCAAATCCACTGAAGAATTTTTTTCACTTCAGCTTGAAAAGTATAGTTTTGTCCGGACCTGCTTCTACATGGTATAAATACACCAAAAGTACAATTTTGAGAGGATTTTTGACCTATGGAAGATTGTAAAGCATTGAAAACTCTAAGGAACAAGAATTCATCATTCTTCCATCAACTCAATACCCGAGTTTGGATTGGATTCATGTTTTCTTACTTAAATTTATCTATTATGAGTTCTCTTACTGTTATGGAGCAGTTTTCCCTTAGGGCTTTGACAGACATGGTATATTGGTTATTCAATTAGGGATTCGATTCTTGATATTTGCTTGAAGTTATTGATGGAGTTTTGAACTATATTGTGAAGTTGTTCATTATTTTGATTAATCGAAAGAGGAGTTTGATATTAAATTTCTTTGCATCATATGCTCTAGTTTAAATTTTTATGTAATCTAGGTAATCGAAAGAGTCTTTTGAATTATTAAATAAACTAAAAAATAGGAAAATATTCATGAGAAGTTACCTTTTAGACTAAAATTAACATCATATTCATAACAGTTTTTCATAGTGCTTCAATATGATTATTTTTGGGATTTAAAGTTTAATAGCAAGAGGAACCTTAAATTCAAGTGTAATCTAATTATCTGGTGAATTCCTGAGAATCAACACTATTTTAGAATTGAATTAATTTAACAATTGGATCCCGAGTAAATTATCTTGCACCTATCTAGTCAATTGCCTTTATTTCTTCCACTGATTTTCTGTGTTGCTCAATTCTTGTCTTTCGTGATCAATTGATAATTGATTTAATTTAAGTAGTTAATTGTAGTTATAATTATTCAAATCAAAGTGTTAATCCTCCTGAATAGTAATTATCTAGAGATTATTCGAACATTATTCAAATCCAATCCCTGTGGAGACGATAATTAAACTATACTATCTTTGACTAGCGAGCTTTAATTTTATGTGGTGTTTTGCGCTCGTCATTGGCTATTGAAAATGAGCATTAGAGTGCCAAACTCGTCACTACTTACAGCCCGAGTTTAGGCTTGTTACTTGTTGAGTACATGATGTCGATTGCACTAATACTATACTCTGCACTTTATGTGCAGTTCCAGGTGCTGCTGAGAAAGAAGATTGCTAGAAAGTGGCATTGGTACCTGTTGGAGATTTTGAGGTAGCTGTTGTTCCGTCAGCAGGCCTTGAAGTCCCTTTTCTCTTAGTTCATGCTATTACTGTTTTATCTTTCAGACAATACTATATATTGGTTCCGAGTCTATATTTAAGTTTTGCAGAGCTCAAGTACTCAACGACACCAGATCGTGGGATGGTTTTCAGTTATATTGTTGCTATTGACTTCAGTTATATATGTTATTCTGCTGCTGAGACTATTTCATACTCTTACTGAAGTTTATTTCTGCTTATTCGTTGTTGGCTTGTGTAACAAGCGATGTTAGGTGTCATCACGGTTCTGGTGAGATTTTGGATCGTGACGATTCTTTATATAGGTGTTTCACTAGATGGATATGATCTACTAAGCTGGATTGGATGAGGTATTACGATGCACACTCTAATTTACACACTTGATGCTTTTCAACTATCAAGTGGAGTAGTGCAAATTGCTCTCTCTAGTAGATAGAATTGCATTAAGTTTAGGCATTGTTGTATCCAAGTCAAGAAATCCCTATCTCTAGTTTACTCTCTTTAGTTTGGTTTAAATAAACTCTCAATTAGTCTAATTCCAACCAAATTACCCAAACTCAACTCCTCTTTCTCAAGTAAGAATCGAATCAAAAGGGAATGAATCAATGTTTGCAACCATTAATTCACAATTTAAGCATAAAAATAATTAAATAATAAATAACCCACTCTCAACAAGCTTAATAGTAAATACCCATAATGTTTCACACATGTGGGTTGAAATACAAACCAGTTATAAGTCTAGTTACTCATTACTAAGAAAAGAAAAACACAAATAAATGAAAAATAAAAGAGAATTAAAGTGATCTTCTCCAAATTGTAGCTTAAACTTGCTAAAAAGGATAAAATCTCCAAATCTCAATGGCTGCTACAATGAAAAATACCTAAAAGATTACTGAAAAAACTATTTATATCGCCTTGAAACTTGTTCCAAAAATGCCCTTTACGTTGGATTGTGGTCACACTAGATGGATTGTGCTCCACATCTTTCTTCATTTCTTTAGCAACATTTCTAGGTTAAGGATTACAGATGCATAGAAGATATTACGACCGTAGTGAAGATGTTGCATCCATAATTATCCCCTACGGTCCGTACTTAGAACATTGCGGCTGCATTGACTAGATTCCAGAATCTTCAAAATGCCAACTTTTAGATCTTTTGAGCTTTAGCAGACATATTGTCTTGTGGACCTGAGTGTAACTTCACATTATACATTGCGGTTCGCAATTAGTTACTGCAAGTGTCGGCTATAGAAGGCATCGGGTTCTCCACTTGCGGCCGCAATGGCTACTTTTGTGTGCCACACGAGATGGATTATGGAGCGCACTATAGGACTATAAAGCGCACTGGTTTCTTCTCTCCTTTAGCTTCCAATTTGAGTTCTTTAATTCATATTGTCCTTCATTCACTCAACCACTCACCATAAACCTAAATTTCAAAATATTACGTTATAATTGGATATTACACTATAATATAGCAAACATGTATTACTACGCGGATAAAAGTATCACTTATCAGAGATAAACCCTAGAATATAAGGATTTCAGGTGGAGCAAGACTAAGACATAATACTTGGAGTGTAAGTTTAGTAACGTGACTCATGAAACTGAAGTAGAAGTGAGGCTTGATACACAAGTCATCCATAAGAAAGGAAGTTTCAAGTATCTTCAGTCAATAATCAAAGGTAATGAGAGATTGACAAGGATGGCATACATCATATTGGAGCGGGGGTAGATAAAATAAAGGCTCACACCCGCTATCTTATGTGATAAGAATGTGTCAACAAGACTTAAAGGTAATTCTATAGAGTGATTACTAGACCGACTATGTTGTGTGGGATGGAGTGTTGGATATTCAAGAACTCGCATGTTCAAAAGTTGAAAGTAGCGGAAATAAGGATATTGAGATGGATGTGTGGGATACAATGAGATATAAGATTAGGAATGAGGATAATTAATACAAGGTGAGAGTGACTCCTGTGGTGGGCAAGATGTGGGAAGTGAGGCTGAGATGGTTCGGGCACGTGAAGAGAAGGTTCCTAGATGCCCAGTGAGAAGGTGTGAAAGGTTGACCATAGTGGGTATGATAAGAGGTAGAGGTAGCCAAAGAAGTATTATGAAGATGTGATAAGGCCGGACATGGCACATCTGCTACTTACCGAGGACATGACCCTTGATAGGAGATTATGTAAGTCGAGAATTTGGGTAGAAAGTTAGTAGGTAGTCGAGCTTTTCCTTTTTTTAATCCCTGTAGTATCATTATTTTTCGCGAATTTTCTTACACTTAGATTTCTATAACTGCTAGTTATATCTTTTGCTTTGGTTATCTTATTATTATGTTGTTGTTACTGCTTCTTGTTACTGTTCTTTTTCATGTCTTCCGCGATACTGTATTTCTTTTCAACTATGCTGTAACTATGTTTTTCCTAAGTTGAATATCTATCAGAAACAACCTCTCTACCTCCAAAAGATAGAAGTAACGAATGCATACACACAATCCTCCCCAGACCCCATTTGTCGGATTACACTAGGTTTTTTGTTGTTGTTGTTGACATAGACCAAAATGCACATTTTTACAAGACTAGAGGATCAATAATGCTCAAGAGTATATTTAATGGACTGGTTTTAATCTACCTCCAAACGTGAGAGACCATTTTTGTTATTTCCTCTGCAAAGTACTCATAATGTAAAACCAAACCGGCAAAACTACTGGAAAACAAAAAAGAAAGACAAAACTCCTCTAGGGTCGAAGCGTTTCGTCAGCGTCAATGGAGAAGGAAGCAGAATCAAGGCGAAAGAGAGAGGTGGAGATAACAGTGCTAGAGAGGGTCGGTCAGGTCACTGCTTCTATCAAAGATTCCAAACACGTCGACCAAGTCATTTGCGCTCTTCATTCCCTCGCCCTTCTTGTCTTCCCTCTCGACTCCCGCTCCCTCGCAGGTGCGATAAAAAAAACTCATACCAGTATTAACGAGAAAATAAAGTTAATTACTGGGCAATAATCCTCTATTTTTTGGGCAATTCTATAGGTAGTGTTAACGAGCAGTACAGGGAACAGGTACTACGCTGTACATGCTAATTTTTATTGATTTCTTTTTCTTATAATGTTTTAATTGTTTTTACTAAAGTTAACAAGTTTGAGACTCCCGGCTACACACGAGAGAAAGGAATGGTGGCAGATTTTCTACAAAGGCCCTGCATTTTCAACATTGGCCAGGGTTTTGTTATATGGTAAGTTTGATAGTCCTGGATAATTAGTCAAATGATAAGATCCCTTTGTTTATTAACATGAATTGAAAATAACAGCGCCACACTTCTTTGCGCTGTAGTTATATCTTAATTCTTTAGTTTTTATGGGTCTGTTTGTGTATGGGATGAGAAAAAACTTAAAACCAAGATTAAGAAGTAACTGTGAATGCAACTTTTACTTTCCTTGATACATGTTGCTCGTTGTATTTGTTGTATTCAATTCGCTCTTTGCACAGTTAGATTTGTTTTTACTTTGACATATTATTGGAATAATCATTGTTGTAATGATGCTTTTGCGTGAATTGAAATGCTTCCTTTTACAGAGAGCGAGGCTTGCATTATCATTTTAATGTCTTAGCTCTTGCTTTTTAGTTGTTTAATAACGTGACTAATATTTTTTTTGCAGATGTGGCTTTTGATTGGCTGGCATGTATCCCCATTTCTGCGAGGATGCACGTCTATGATGTGTTCTTTTTGAGAGGCCAAGTCATTGAGGTTGTTCAAAAACTGGTTCCTTGTCTGCAATGGAGAAGTAGTAGTGATCATGGAACCCGTGCCGTCCACTCAAATGCTGAAAGGTAGCAAAGCATCTTCCACTTTGTGTTAGAGTTGCTTTTTTAGTACGTGTCATCTCTTTTTGCGTGGCGAATTCAGGCCAAACAGAGAATGCAGTCTTAACAGTTTTCTGCTGCCATTGACATGCCCATGGAATAATTTTGTCATTGTCATTTTTTTCTTGCAATATATTTCACTAAATCAGACCATGATGAATAGAAGTCTAGAAATGTGCAGGTGCAAGACTGTTACATCATGTAGGCAATTATTACTTCAGAAATAGTTCGGATCAAAACTGAACGTGTTTATTTAGTTATAGTCTCAAGATGAACTTGGTGGGAAGCTATACGAGATGTGAGCGGTTTTATTGATGGTGTGAGTGTTAGGACATTGCTTTGTTCTGCCTAGCACATGTTCTGCTCGTCTTGCTGGAATGCTCATGTTGGTGCAATGTTTGAGTATTATCTTGATCAGTGATGTCTAATTCATACAAAGAATATGTAGACTTGTTTGATGGTGCAACACTCTCCCTCCTGAGATATGCTCACAAAGTAATGGCATACCTTCTGATATTTTGAGTTCTGAGTGCAGATTACTTGTGCTTTGTTTGCTTGACAATAAGGGAGTTACCCAGATTGCTCGAGAATTTTATACTTACTCTCATGATCTTGCCCAAGAAGAGCTCAAGCAGATTATATCCTNAGACGGCTCATTTTTCTTTCTTCCAAATATTTCCGTCATCCTCTCCCTCTCGTCCTTCTTCACCATCCTCCTCCTTCTAAGTAAGGTTTTTCGCTCTCTCTCTCTCTCTCTCTCTCTCTCTCTCTCTCTTCCTCCTTCCCGCACTTGTGGGCTGTAAGGGGTTGTTCACTTAACAATTGAATTTCATTTTCAATTCTTTTTTCATCTAGTCCGGCTGTGGACACTTGTGTCAATTAGAGGTTTCTTTGAAAACTGCATGGTGGACTACATAATGTAGTTTGCTTTTCTTTGTTCTTTGTTCCATTTGTTGCCCCTCTTGGTCTTGTTCCACTCTTCACCAGTGAATTTCAGCCTCTTCTTCAAGCATATCACTGCTCAACTTCTTGCTGGAGCACAGGAATGGGACGAGCTTTTAGATGGAGGAACTAATGTTGATAAAAACAAATTAGGTGGTGGCATCCTGTTAATGGGTGAAGCATTTGCTCGTATTAGTCGGCGAGGATCAGCAGGTACATTTGATCAAGCACAAGCAAATTGTTCAAAGAATCTTATTTTTTTATTAGTACAAATAATTTGATATATGAGTTTATAAAGTGGAATCAATTTGTAATTTGATATATGAGTTTATAAAGTGGAATCATTTTGTGCAAGTAGATGTGCTGTTAAGTGTATTGGTTCCTGAGTTACTTAAACATGTGCGGAGCTCCTTGCCATTGAATTCGGATATTCCCGTTGGTGAAGCATTTGAATCAACACCTGGTTTGCGATTTTGGTTGAAGATGATAGAGTCAATCAAAGACCCTTACTCTGTAGAAAGAATGACTGAAGAGCTATTTAAACAATTAGCAGCTCAAAATACAGGAGATATTGAAGCTCACTTGATTTTGTGGATATTGTTTCATCAGATTTTCCAGCAACAAGCCTCGATTAGGTTCGTGAATATTCACTATGCATTATTATGATAGAATATGGATTCCGTTTTGATTGTCATGAAAAGATTGTTAACTTTGAGGGGTACGATATCCTTTTTTATATTTTTGACCGGTCTTTTCTTCAATTTTCTCTTTCAGGTCCATGTTTCTTGAGAAATTTTTACTGTGGAAAGTATTCCCTAGCAATTGCTTGAGATGGATTCTTCACTTTGCTGTTTTTCAGTGTTCTCCTGAAAATTCCTCATCAGTGAAAGCTTGTAACCTCCGTAGTCTCTCAGAGACTGTCCAGCATCTTGTCACGGCTTGGTCTAAACGAGAATTTGTGCAATCAACTTCTATTGAGCAGCAAGCCTGTATTCTTTTTCTTTTCTTTGAGCAGTAACATTTACACCTTTTGTTGAGGAAAATTATAAGATCTGTAATTCTTTAGTCTATTCAACGATTTTGTGCTTCCTTAACTTAAGATCTAGATATAACTGCTGCATTAGGCCTTTGCCTAGAGAAGATGTCTAAAGAAGATTTAGATGCAACCAAGGATGCAATGCACTGTATTCTTGAAGGAGTTAGCTGTAAAATTTTGCTCTTACTGCTGTAAAATTTTACAATATAATCTTTCTATATGACTACTGACTAGTTAATGTAAATCTTCTTATATCTTTTGTGTTTGCTGACAGGTAGGTTAGAAAGTGCTGATCATTTGGTCCGTAAAATGGCTAGCAGCGTTGCTTTAGCATTTTCCAAAGTAATTGACCCCCAGAATCCTCTCTACCTTGATGATAGTTGCCGCGAGGAATCTATTGACTGGGAGTTTGGTTTATTAACACCCGAAAAAAGATTATTGGCTAGGTCAACAAACATAGATGGAGATACTAAGAGCTGTTCAAGCACAGTAATTGCAAATGAATTAAATACCATAGCTGCTACCAGCACACATGATAACGTGATGGGCAAAAAGAAGAAATTGTTTGAATTTGAATCCGTTGATCCAGATGAGATTATTGATCCAGCATCCCTAAATAATGAGGTGGACTCTTGGGAAGATGATGATGATGATAATGCAAGTGAAACCTCCGAGTCCTCAAATGACTCGTCTCTACAGCCATATGACTTGTCAGATGATGATGCAGATCTGAAAAGAAGTTTCTCACAGTTAGCGGATGTGATTGGAGCACTAAGAAAATCTGATGATGCTGATGGAGTGAGTTCAAATTCTTAAATCACCCTATCAGACAATTCTGCAGAGTTTTAAATTGTATCAGTCTTCTAGGAAATGAACAAGCTTTGATACCCTTTTTTTGCTCCGAAAGATCTGTATCAGTTTTTATAGTAGACCGAGAATTGGTCGTGACAATTAGTTTGTAGTTACCAAGATTACTAGAAAATAGTTCGATATCTAGTAATACAAATTAGTAGCTCCGGCGCTATCACTGAAAAGTAGGTGAAAAAAGTTCCCCCCTGTACCATTTTTGACGTCTTTCCTCTTAGCAGGTTGATAAGGCTATTGATGTTGCTGAGAAGCTTGTACGAGCATCACCTGATGAGCTCAAGTTTGTAGCTTCTGATCTAGTCAGAAGTCTTCTACAAGCCCGCTGCTCTGATTCAACTATTGAAGGGGCGGAAGAGTCCGCTGAAGAGAAGAGACAAAAAGCACTTGTTGCTTTGATTGTCACATGTCCTCATGAATCTCTTAATACACTAAACAAATTGCTTTATTCACCAAATTTAGATGTCAGCCAGCGGTTAATGATACTTGATGTAATGACAGAGGCTGCACAGGAGCTCGCAGGTACAGGGATTTCAAGATTTAAGCAACGGTCTGGCGCTCTCATATCATCCATGTCCGATCAAGCATGGTTCATGCCAAAACCTGTTGGTCCTCCAGGAACTGGTCCTTGGAAGGAGATCTCAACACCAGGAACTCCTTTGAATTGGTCTCACTCGTATAAGAGAGAACTTCCCCCTAAATCAGGTCAGATCAAGAAGGGAAAGACTCGCCGTTGGGGCCTTCATTCAGCTGTACCAGAAAATCACCTTGAATGGTCCCAGAATAAGTTTCCCCAGTATGCAGCGGCATTTATGCTTCCAGCCATGGAAGGATTTGATAAGAAAAGGCATGGTGTAGATTTGCTTGGCAGAGACTTTCTCGTTTTGGGGAAGCTTATCTACATGCTCGGTGTCTGTATGAAGTGTTCAGCCATGCATCCAGAAGCATCTATTTTGGCATCTCCTCTTTTGGAATTGTTAAGATCAAGGTAGTAACCCTTGTATATGATACCAGAGAATATACCTTCTTGCATAACTAGCAATCTAATCTTGCAAATGTCTTGAAATAGAAGATGAGTTGCTTACAGGAGAAAAAATGCGTATCTTCTTTTAACTTCTAAAATTAAATGTGTTTATCTTTTTTGGGACTGAGGCTTGGTTGTTGTTGGTAGAAGTGACCTGCTTCCATTTGTAATTTTTACTGTGGTATTGGACAATGCACTAGTCTGTCAGTGGGAATTCCTGTCTTGTTTCGATTTTTCTGTTTACGTTTAGATGCCCACTTAAGTTTTCACTCTCTATACTACCAGGGAGATATCTCATCATGTGGAAGCTTATGTTAGGAGATCTGTCCTGTTTACTTCTTCATGCATATTGATTTCTCTTCATCCCTCCTATGTGGCGGCTGCCTTGTTTGAGGGAAATTCTGAAATTTCAAAAGGACTTGAGTGGGTTCGCAGCTGGGCACTTCATATTGCTGAATCTGACACCGACAGGGAGTGCTACACAGTAAGTCAAACGAGCTGTATGCCCCTCTCAGACTTCATGCATATTCTGTTCTGTTTGTTTTATGCGTACCTATTACTCTGTAGATTGTTAGCGGACTATGTCATAGACACAACTAGTACCTTCCTCCTGTTCTAATGTACAAATGTAAGTCCAGATAGAGACTAAAGTGTTCAATGGCACATTATAACATTGCATAGGATAGGATTTGTTTTTTCTGAAGGTGCTCATAGACGGACAGAACTTGACTGGAAGCTTTATAAAAAGGCAAGCAGAAGAAAAAGTAAGGCCAAAATCCTGAAGTGTAAGAATTGTGTACATGAAGCCCTTTGCAGAAAGTCAGTAGAAATTTAACTGTTAAAACTCGCAATTTGTTTGTTCTAACTTCATGAGTTGTTAGCTACCAAATCAAACTATTTGCTTTGTTTTGGGTTATGTTGTGTGTCAGGCATGAACAGTTATCTAGTATTATTTCCAGGTTACTTGTTAGTGATTGCCCTTTGCTTGTTCAGATAAATGTTTAACGTTATTGGTATCTGTTGCAACTGATATATCAAAGGCTTAGTTCTTATCACCATCAATTAGTCATTGTGAACAGAATTAAACTCTGTTTAGTTTCGTTTTCTGATCTTTTAATCTTGATTTCCAGTTTTTATATTCTCGTATAATACACTGTTTGAGTTGCTTTACATAGCCACCCTAATTACTTCTAATCTTGCAGCTGGCTATGACTTGCCTCCAACTCCATTCAGAGATGGCTCTTCAAACTTCTCGGGCACTTGAATCACCAGAAAGCTTACCTGGATCGAATAGCAGCAGTCTACCATCAAATGTATTGAGGGGGTTTATCAAAATCCCCAATTCAAGTGGTGGCATTCTGAATGCCCCTTAGATATTATTGACATGTTTATTCTCTGGCACGATCTGTATATTTCTGAAATATCCAACCTCGCCTTCCTATATGACATCCCTCAGCACGAAAGGTACAATGATCCTGCTTTTGTTCTTGCCTATTTTTTTTGTTGTATGCCATGCAAATGGTTTTACTTAATGATTTTTCATATTGTATCCCTCACCTTCATATTTGTATATTTTTGTTTATAATAGGATGAAAAAAATATGTAATAGCAATTATAGAGAATAGACATACATATGAAAAGTATTAAAAGGAAAAAATCAAATGTGTATGAATATACTAAATTAGCCAAGCATGTGAAAAACACTGCATATAAATTCTTAGTAACCCTTTCACATCTTGTTTTTTTATCATCCAAATAAAATAAAACAATGAAACTTTAGTTTATTGTTATCCTTCCAAATTATGAAAAATTAAACAATCGGTCTATCACTGTTGGCAGAACTAACCGCAATAATAACAACATGGAAGCCCCTCAGATTTGTTTGAAATTGCCAAAATAAAAATGTCATTCACATTGTTAAACGTAAAGTTATGCCGTTCAATCCCTGAAGCCTTATTGAACCTCGGCTGTAGAATTGCTGTCCCTATGCATCAAGAAGAATGAAACTTTACTGTAATCCCACCCCATGGAATAAAATTAGCAATTTCAAAATACAGAACCTCTTGCAGTTATATATAAAAATATGTGGTTAAAAAAGGATGGAAGGATACGCCCTCTCATTTTAGGACACAACTTGTAGTTTAAAACTTCATTTTCTTAAACTTCTACTTTAAAACTTAATTTACTAAGAATGAAGTTATCTGGAATGGGAGTGGCCCCAATGGAGGACAAGATGAGGAAAGCGAGGCTGAGATGGTTCGGACATGTGAAGAGGAGGGGTGCAGATGCCCCCGTGAGGTGGTTTGAGAGGTTAGCCTTGGTGGGTCCGAAGAGAGGTAGAGGTAGGCCTAAGAAGTATTGGGGAGAGGTGGTTAGGCAGGATATGGCGCGCCTTCAGCTTACCGAGGACATGACCCTTGATAGGAGGGTGTGGAGGCCGATAATTAGGGTAAGAGGTTAGTGGATAGTCGAGCTTATTTCTATGTCGTACCAATAGATAGTAGTATTAGAATTGTACTCTCGTATTCATAGAATTCTATTTTACATGTTTCTTTCGCTTCAGTTAGCTTATTATCATGTTGGTCTGCATGTTGCTGCTTGTTTATTTTTGCCCCCTTTTTTCGTTTTCCTTGAGCCATGGGTCTTTGGAAACAATCTCTCTATCTTTACAAGGTAGAGGTAAGATCTGCGTACACACTATCCTTCTCAGACCCCACTTGTGGGATTAGATTGGGTATGTTGTTGTCTAATATCTACAAAATCTCAAACCCAGTAAATGGTGTTTCTTATTAACAATGAATTGAGCAAATTGAAATGATGGGAGGGTTCAAGTTTTTGAATAACCTTAACTAAATTTCAGGAAAAAAATGTACATTAACTAAAAATTATCAGCAATCTTTTCATGTTCTTTTGTGAACATCCAAATCAAAGACAGTTACCGAATGCTTGTAGCACAATACTATTGTCTCCACTAAAATTCAACCTAGAGAATATAGTTTCTTGTCATCCAATAATGTAGTCAACAGTAAAGCATCCTAACTACCAAAAAATAATTACAGATATGGAAGAAAAGGCAGACAAAGTGTGATACGACATACAACATCTCTTTGCTGCAACTGATAATTGAATTTCTTGGCCAAAGAGAAGTGCCAAGTCTCCTTGTCTACGTCCTCCTTTCTATACAACAACAACATACCCAGTATTATCCTGCACCGAGGTCTGGGAGGGTAGTGTGTATGCAGAGCTTACCCCTACCTTGTGAGAATAGAGAGGTTGTTTCCAGTAGACCCTCGGCTTAGGAAAGCATAAGCACCACATTAATGAAAATATAGCCAAGAAGGAACAGTATCAAAAAGCCATATAAAAACAGAATAAAAACAACAAGACAATAAGGTAATCAACAATGAAATAAAACAATGGTTAGTCATTAAAACCTACTACCAACAGAAAGCGAGATTGCATGCCAATACTACTGTTATGAACACTCTAGACTACTTACTCTACTACCCTAATCCTCGACCTCCATACCTTCCTATCAAGGGTCATGTCCTTGGTCAGCTGAAGCTGCGCCATGTCTTGCCTAATCACCTCTCCCCACCTCTTCTTTGGCCTACCTCTACCTCTTCGTAGGCCCTCCAATGTCAACCTTTCACACCTCACCGGGGCATCTGTGCTCCTCCTTCTCACATGACCAAACCACATAAGCCGCGCTTCCCGCAGCTTGTCCTCAATAGGGGCCACACCCACCTTGTCGCAAATAATGTCATTTCTAATCCTATCTAACCTGGTGTGGCCGCACATCCATCTCAACATCCCATCTCTGCTACCTTCATTTTCTGGACATGAGCGATCTTGACTGGCCAACACTCAGCCCCGTACAACATCGTTGGTCTGACCACCACTCTGGAGAACTTACCTTTAAGTTTCGGTGGCACCATCTTATCACACAAAGTCCTCATTTCGGTGCAGAGCCCACGACAGATCACATAAGATCAAAAACACAAATGGATCTATAAGAATTGCATTCACTTGTGCACAATTTGAAGTGTGATATGGAGGATTGGTTGGTAGTCGACAACTGCAGGGGATCCCTATTTTTATTAGTGCTACGAGCAACATCCAATTTAGTTGGTATTCACCGTTGAGCAAAATCCAATTTAATAAGTTGTCAAATTATGTATGCGAATCTATGAGATACGGGTAGATAGAGGAGGTGAAAGGGTATATAATTGATATGAAATTATTGAAATCTTCAAGAGGTGTCTTTTGGGCAGAGAATTTAATATGTGCATTTAAGAGGTGTTTTTGGGGGTTTTAAGAGGTGTATAGCACAAAAATTGAAGAAAATGGTGGGAAAATCTGAAAATTTGAGATAAAAGATATAAGGCTTTCTTGGCTATAGAGAGTGCCAAGTCATCTCTCCTATATCCTTCCTTTATATAGATTTTCAGGCCTTGCTCAAGCCATCTGATGCATCTTATAGTTTGGTTTAAGAAGGTGAATGTCTTGGGATCAAAAGAATGATGTATGTTTTATTTCTTTTTGTTTTCTTTTTAAATTAAGTAGTAATTTCTTAAATCAAATGCAGCATAAAACTTCGCAATGCTTACAAGAGCTGGCGTGAGATGCTAGATTTTGACAATGAGGCATCTTCCGAAAAGAACATAATATTGGCATGTCATCTGATGAGGTTTTTCATCCAAAAGATTTTAGTGCAGCCTTGAGTTTAAATGTGTTTCGACAGTATGCCTTCCTTTTCCCATACATGCACTCTGAAATTTCAATCATGTACGTACAAAATGTATGCCTCTAAATGGATTGCAAGTCCTTGACCATGGAAACAAGACTTTGAGATCTAAAGCTCTATCCAAGGTAGCTTGTTCCGACTAGCACGAAGATAATCAAGAAACAATAGAGGGTCTCAACACTGTTTCTTGTTGCTTTTGAAAAATTGGAGTTCTTGTTTTTTTTTCCCCTCTTCTTAGTCTGTTTAGTAGGCTTTTCAAGAAGGGTTATCTGGTTTCCTTTTCTTGGGATGTAATAGATATAAATACTTGGTAGACTCGTTCTTGAGGAGAGACTTTGCATATTGTGATTCCAAAAATTGAACTTGGCAATTACTTTCAAGTTTGAGTTCTTGATGCCCGAATCGTGATTAGTGGTTTCTGAGTAGATGTAGTAATGTTATGACAAACGTTAGTTGACTTCTCCATCGAAGCAAGGCATATTTCTTACTCAGTCGTATTTTTATAGTTTTTCTCTAAATCATGAGAGAGGATATATGATTAGACCAGACGTCAAGCTGCCGTACTTACGACTTTGTGTTATTTGAGTTGCTTACCCAAAGGACATGTGGAGTCCATAGAGAAGCTTGTAAAGTTGGTCCTAAAAGCAATAACTGATAGCAATACCTGTGTGGTAGGCTACCATTCGTACAATTGGCCAATTCTACAAGTTTTGGATCCAGCAGTTGTAAGAAGTGTTTCATGAGGAGCTCCTCTCTTTTGGTAAAATTCTAGGATGGTGTCAATCCCTAGTAGCAGAAGCAAACAATTTCAACTATACTGCTCCTTAGTTGCAATTTCAGTTTAGATTTCTTGGAACGACACTTGAGCTAGATACCAAAGAAATTAATTGAGTTCCTAAATGAGTGACATTATTATGATGAAGGAAGCTGCTTTGCTTACTTTTGCCTCGTTACATGTAATTGAATATATATTTGTGATACTACTACGAATCTCATTCTCCTTCTCGACTCCTGATAGTGCGTGATTACTTTGGATGGTGGAATACTACTACCCAATAATTATGCAGACCAAGCGACTCAAATCTATTCATAGCCAAAAGCATTTATCTGAATGCATTAGATCTAACGAGGAATGTTTTGTTGCAGGCATGGGCTAGACTTTGCGATAGCTTGGAATAGGCTCTGAAGTGCATTGGCTTGTAATGTGATATGTCACTTTGTAGCTAAGTTTAAGGGTAGATTTTCAATCGACTTTTACACAATTTACTATAACAAACTCTTCCTCTACAGTTGAATGCAATAGTAATGTCATGGCGGTAATTGCAAGCCGGGCCTTTTTCTTCCAAATCAGTAGTTCTTATCCTGATATCCTCAATAATGACTCCAATCATTTTGCGTGAAACTCTTAAACTACTTTCGGAGGAATCACTCTGTTCCAAGACAAGCTCTCTGGATTGAACACTCCTATTTCTATAGGCACTTTAGCTGATTTTAGAACAATAACATGACAATGTTCACGTAACGAAGAAAATTTGACCCCAAGCTATTGCAGAGTCTAGCTTATGCCAGCAACAAAACGCTTGTTAAATCTCCAGCATTTTGATGAGGGCTTGGCTATGAGAATGCTTAAGTGGCATGGTCTGCATAATGATTGGCGGGCAGTATTTTACCTCCCAAAGTAATCATGCACTCCAAAGAGTAGCATGAGAATGAGACTCGTAATAGTATAAATTAAGGTTTTTAGGGTTTAAGGAGATATCATTCCAAGAAATCCGAATTGTAACTAACGAGTAGTATAGCTGAAATAGTTTGCTTTTGCAATTTGAGATTGACAACATCATCTATAAATTTTACCAAAGCATAGAAGAGCTTTTAATGAATACCTCTTGCATGGATCCAAAACATGGAGAATCAGATGAACGGTAGCTCACGGCACCCTTGTATCGTTATCATTAATTGCTTTTAGGACCAACTTTACCAGCTACTTTATTAACTACATGCCTTTGGGCATACGATTGAATGCTTTGTCCAATCATTATCATCTCTAAAGAACAAAACTATTTGAGTACAAATGAGTCAGAATTATGTCTTGCTTTGATGTAGAAATGAGTCTGCTAAGGCTGTCATAATATAACTATATCTACTCGGAAGCCACTTGGTACGATTCAGATGTCAAGAACTCAATCTTAGGAATATACACAACAAAACCACAAAATTTGCACTCTGGTTCCGCTATTTTTGAGTTTTGACACAGCAGTGTTGCTAAATGCTAAACAATTTGGTCATTCTATGGGTTGAACCCATCACTTAATGATTTTCCAGCTGTTAATTTATCTAGTTAGCTAAGGCTGGGGGTGGCAAACTGGCGGGTCAGGTTAGATATAGGCGGGTCGAAAACTAGTAATGCAAAAACGGATAAAATATCCCTTCTGTCCATATTTAATACGAATAGGAAATAGGTCACAGTGATAATATGAATATCCATATTATCTATGCCTTCTTGAATGTGATCATTTTGGGAAAAGTTCTATTGTGTGTTTGGTATGAAGGATCAATTTTTTTCATGTTTGGTTGGGTTAAATATTTTTGAAAATATTTTCTTCATTAACTTATTTTTCTCCAATTGGAGGAAAACGACTTCCCTATCAAAAGGAAAGAAAATAGTTTCCAAAATTCTTTCTTAATCTTCCCCATTTTATTCCTCGCTCCCACCCTTATTCCCACTCACCCCACCCCTAACCGCAACCCCTACCCCACCCTCCAC